ATTCCTATAAATCCTACCAGTTCTTATATATATTTTATGGATATATATACTCTTTTTTTATTCCTCAGAAAGATCTCAATTAAATCTTTCTTGGTGTCCCAACTAAATGATTTACGCTTGGACCAGCAGAAACTCTAAAAGATTTATGATTTTGTGTATGAAATATGACTTGGGTAGTGCAAGTTGCCTCTAAGCTTAAATATTGTTTTCCTTTTTCAAAGGCGAGCCAAGCGAAAAGGCCGATGAAGCTTGAAAACTTAATAGAAATTTATGATGTTATTGGTTACAATTTAACTTGAAATGTTTTTAAACAATTTATCGTTTAAGTTACTTAGGGTTTGGGATACATTTTTGCTGAGTTTCTCTGGCTTTGAGCTGTATATAAAGTTGTGGATTCTTTAATATAAAAAGAAAGACTTTAGTTTGTAGAAATATAAGAAGCTCTTAAGATGAAAAATGTATATAATGTTAAACCAACTAACTAATCAGCCAATAAACTTAAGCTGGCTTACCTCATTAGATCATTAAACTTAATTTCCCCACAATCTATCACTAAACTTACGACTTTCTTATCAAAACTAGATGTACTTAACTTAAATAGCAACTAAGGAAGGTAACTAAGCTTAAGCTTCCACCCAGAAGCCTCACAAAGATCAGGAAACCGAGTTGCAGAAATAACAAATCAAAGTAATCGATGACCCTACACAAGGGTATCAAATGGATGCCAAGTGCTTTTTACGATTATATTTTTTATTTGGATTTTCGGATTTTATTTCGGATTTCTTTGTCGCGTCGACTCTTGCCTGCTGAAATTCAAAATCATGGTCATGGCTCCTAGCATGCGATTTCACGTTTTTCGCTTTTTTTTTTTTGTCGTTTTACGTCTTTCGGTCTTTTAGCCACACACAAACAGAAAATACAATCACAAACACTCCGACCAAGAGACACGCAAATAAATAAATAAACATGGCTGAATAAATGAATATTAAATGGCCAAAAGCTTTGACCAAAAACAACAAAAAGTAATAATGGAACGAGAATAAACAAAAAACGTTATTCGATACGCAAATGGCAGCTAGTGTTTGAATGTTTGCCATTGCCTTATCACTTTTTTTTTTGTTTTTTACTTTTGCATTTGTTTATTCGAATTCTACAGGGGAAACTCGAACCCCGGGCGCATGCAACCATAGAGTGCGTCAAAGAAATTTCAAACTTGATTGACGACAACAAAAGATTGGCCGCCGACGTCATCCGGCAAATATTTTTTTAAAGCTCGAATTGGAACTTGAGGCTTGGGGCTTAGTTTTTTTTTCTTCTAATACTTTTGCCGCCCACGTACGGTGGCCAACAACAACAGCAGCAAAAACAACAACACCAAAAGACACAACAGCAAAAAAGATACTTCTACTCGCACACACATACAAATATTCAAGCGGCGAGAGCGACGAAACCGCGAGAGCGGAAGCAACAACTTCGACAGCATAGAAGTGTGTGCCAGCTAAGGGGGCGTGGCGGGGCCTGTAGGGGCGGAAGGGGAGTGACAAGCTTTTGCGGTTTTTAGTTACACCGACCTCAGCTTGGCAAACAAGCACAGTGGGCTCAGGTAAAGCGAAAAAGTAAGCTAAAAATTTAAATATTTTTAAGGAATAATAAATAATAAATAAAAGTTATAAAATTGGTTTCAAAAAATAATACAAAATACAATAAAATATGCCATTTTAAGCCAATAATTTAAATTTACAACGTAAAAATAAAACTCAAGAAATCTTAACGTATACGTAATATTTTCAGAAAATCTTAAAAAAAAATATTTTCTTTTTTAAGATCAACATTATCATGATTTCTTCTATTTTTTTAAATTCGAATTTTAAGATAGTTTTTAATACTTTTAATCAAATATCTGAAATAACACAGAAACTGAAATAAAAACATTAAAACTTCTTGAAAATTTCAGATTTTAAGAAAACTTATAAGCCCCAAGACAACGTGCAATCAATTTCATATTATTGATTATCAAAATGAGTAATAATTTTTGCCTCTGGATCGGCAATCAATTTCTCATACTTAATTATTGGCTATCAATGTGGATATAACTTTTGCCCCACTGCCTCCGATGACGGTGTCTTTTGCCTTGCGCTATTGTCATTTACTTTGTGGCAAGCAATTACATGCGACAAGCCAACCGGCGGTTCTTGTTGTTGTTGTTGTTATTTTAGCTGTTGCTGTTGTTGATATTTGATGTTTGCAGCTTATGGTTTTTGTAGGCGTGGCCCAGTTTATTGTTGCCTTTCCAGCGGCTGTCGTAGTTCGCCACATTTGGCCGAGAAAATTTATGTCAAGCCGACTTCTTTTTGGGCCTTCTGCGCGAAAACATGCGTAAAAGTAGCTGCGAAAAGACAGCCCACTGTCCGCCCCACAAAACCACAACACCACACACCGCCACTACGCCCTCAAACCTACTCTTTGGATTTCCAATTGGTTGCTGAAATTAAAATGCCTGGCAACAAACATACACAAACTTTTTCGACACACACAAAAATGGGGGAGTGGGTTAGGGTGGCACGATTTATGGGTTGAATGCAGCATAATTCGAAGTTATAAATATTTTTAGAAAAGCCACAAGTTTTAATAGGAACTAGGGTTTCAAGGAGAAGAAATCATAGAAATTTCAAACTGATTTGATTCAAAATGTAAAAGAACAACATATTTATTTGAGACTATGAAAAGTATAACTATAAATCATAAATTTTAAGTTTATAAAACTTAAACTTAATAAACTTAGAAGCCAGATTGGGAAACACATTTTATAAAGCCCTGTGTTAATCCTTCGCTAATCTAGATTACACGCCAGTTACCGAAATCAAATAAGCCGCCCCCCCCATAAATTCTTAATTATGTTGAGTATAAAATTTGGCCCACCCTCCTCTGCGAAAGAGTAAGGGAAAGTTCAGAAAAAGGAGGGAGAGAGAGATGGCCTGCGTTTAACAGCGGCGTTGACAGCCGCATTGGGCGCTTGGCATCTGTCAAACGTGTCATACGCAAAATAGCTTAACTGTCATAAAAACAACAAGTGCGTCAAGCAGCGGAGATCGTAAAACGCTTTATTACAAACCCCCACTCCTTATAGGGGGGGTTTTGTACGGTAAATGTGCGGCGACGTTTATGTCTCACAAGTGGGTGAAAGGAGGGGTTGGTCCAGGTAGGCAGTGGGTGGTGAGTGTGGGAGAAAGGTAAACACTTGAAATTCCCATTGAAGAGAAGAATTCCTTTGGCTCTGTTTGTTGATTTCCATAATGTTTATCTTTTATGTTTTACCCGATTTATTTGATTTATTTATGAACTGACCCCAAAAACCGACAATCATCTGTGGCACGAACATCTCGAAAATTAATTAGCTCTTGGGTACTAAATATTATTAAGTTTTGTTTTGTAAGCCACTAAAACAGGTTAAATATAGCAAGATTAAGCAAGAGCCTAGTATAGTTTTCTAGGTTTCTATTATAGCTAAAAGAGGAGGCTAGTTTTTAAACAATGTCTTTTAGTGTTTTAAATAATGTCACAAGAAAACTTTGTTAACATTCTTAACATGTTGTAAGATTTACAACTTCTGTAGAAATTCCTTTTTTAAGACACTTCTTGATGTATTTCTTTTGATTCCATGTTTAAATATTTGAAGTTAAACAAGGGATTAATATAATATGTTTAAGATAGATTATATACTATTTAACTATTTGTGTGGGTTGATTTTGATTTAAAAACATTCGATTAGCAATAATTCTGATATTATTAAAGAGTTTTTCCAAGAACATAACCAACCAAATATTCCCTTTCAATCCCAAAAAGTAAGTTACAGCATTCCTTTAGTTAATAATTTGATAATTCTAAAACATTTTATCTTTTAATCTACTAACTTCCGCTGATTTGGTTGATTTCCCAGATGGTTATACAATTTATTTTATCTGATTTATTTACTAAGTATCCTTCCCACTCTCTTTCTCTCCAATTCCTTTTTACCCTTTACCGCTACTTTATCTTCTTCCTCTTTTGGTCAGAACGCCAACGCCTCGCACACATACACACGTTCATAGTTTTTTGCCCCATGCACATACATACATATACATACGGGTATATGAGTGTGTGTGTGTGTGAACGTTGGGGGTTTTAATAATAGCACACACACATATTATAAAAGCTCCCGCTGGAGCAGAGAAATGTTGCACTAAAAACTTCAACGCCCGCACTTCTGGCAAATATCAAACAGCAAGCAGAAATCACAAAAGCAAATACAAAACTTTCTTGCCAACACACACACACACACAAACACATACACATATTCGCTTCCCTTTTCAGAGAGAGAGTTTGTGGGCGGGAGAAAGGGATAAGGAGAGAGAACGGGAGGGCGGTACTGCCACAATAATACTCTTGTTGTCTGCGGCAACAGTTATGAAAAGTGCGGAAAAGAGAGGGAGACTTGAAAAAAAAAACAGGAAGTTTGTTGATTTTTTTTTCAATTAACACAAGCCACAGCGAGAAGAAAGAGAAAGAGAGACAGAGATAGAGACAGAGACAGAGAATTGTACAATTTATGAGTTTTTGCACTATGTAAACAAATGCTTATACAACAGCCCTATGCGGTTTATTAAATATGATTTTTCGTTTATTTTGCTTTTGCACTCCCCTTTGTTTGTTTAATTTGAATTTTGTGTTTTCTTTTGTTTTTGGTTTGTTTAGTTTTGGGTTTTCTTTAATTATTTCGTTTATATATTTTCATTTTTATTTAATGTATATTATTTTTTTTTTTTTGGTTTAAAACATATAATAATTTAAATATTTTTTGTATATTTGTTTTGTTAGGTATATTTTCTCTTTCAAATTCCTTTCATTTTATCTTTATTGCTTGATGAAAAGTTGACAAAACAAAGCCACAACAAAAAGTAAAGCAAATCAAATCACACGCACACACCTGCAACTAACACCCACCCATTCACGCACACACCCACCTATGTATATAAGTATAGCGTACCTCTCGCAACAACAATTAGTTTGCACAAAAATGCACTGGACGTCGCTGCTGATGCCGCTACGCTGCTACTGCTCTGCTACGCCGCTGTTACCGCCGTCAGAGCCGACACTTTGTTGTTGCTTTTTGGGGCTGCTTCTTTTTGTAATTGCAAAGACACAAAAACACAATCACACACACACGTACACTCGCAAACGAATTGGCGGCGCCGCTTTCTTTACACTTTTTTTTCAAACAAACTTTTTTTCAAAAGCACACCGAAAGGCAGAAAGGCCCGCTCTCCGCTAGACCGCTATTTCCGTTTCCAATTCGAATCCGATCCGACAACCGTTCCGCTCGCGATGCAAAAACAAAATGAGACTGGCGACAACAGCTGGAGCGGCTACCATTTGTTATCGATTATCGGACTATCATAGCTTAGAGAGAGAGAGAGTGCCGAATGAAAGAGAGTAGGGCCAAGTTGGGGCTGTGCACTTGATAAGTCAAAGTGGGTGTGTGCCTTGGCTATTTATCGATAGTTAATATTATCGATGAGTTTTAAATTCAAATTTCGAAATCAAAATTATATAGTAATACCTTTCAAAATAATAAACAAGCTGTATGGACAATTTTACTTCTTGTAATTTTAACAAATATATATTGGTTATATTGTTTATTTAAATTATTAAAGTTCACAATTGATTTAGCTAGTAGCACTTCTTAGTGCACCAATCCCAGATACATCCGTCTTTCGGATTGCAACCAAACTCGCCTGGATATATTTCGCAAAAGTCCTGGGTGTTCATAAAGGCGCAGCTTCCGTTGGGACAATAATAGCTATAGCATCCCGGCGAGCACTTGTCCCGCTGATTATCCTTGCAACCGGAGCAATCCAATACCTCTGTGGAAATTAAGCAAAGTTTATGAATTTTTTAAATTGGTTCTATATATTTATATTTAAATTTTTTAGTTTTTATATACAAAACAGACTCACCGCTCTCCTTGCACTGTGGAGTACTGCAGGCCAAAAGTGGAGGATTTGGTGGCATCACTACCCTCTTTGGATTTTCCCCATGGACTATTTTGGGGGGTTTGAGATAAACCACAGGCGCTGTACAGACCCTCGTGTCGCAGAACTTCTTTTCCTTGCTCGAGCACACCCAGTTGGGAGCATAGTTGATGCAGATCCGAGGACTCTTTACAAAACAACAGCCCGATGGAGGATTTCTACCCGGAAATGCTTCATTGATCACCGACTGTTCCGTGGTTGGGCTCCAAGTTGGATATATCCAAGGACGTCTTGTTGTTGTCGTTGTAGTTGTGGCTGGGGCTACAATATTATCTGGTACACTTTCGGGAGTACTGAAGTCATAGCTCTTATCCTTATCGGGATCATAAGGTGCGGCTGTTATGTACTCGACACGATTTATATTTTCACTGGTCACAGCGTACTTGTGCTCATTGTGGATCACATTGCCGATCTCCAGAATTGTGGTGATATATCCCGGTTCCTGGCAGCGTTTTCCAAACCAAACAGTTCCCGGTGGACAGGCAGATGATATACAACGTCCGGCGTAATATTCACCCTCCGAACAAACGATTTTCCGGCATTGCGAGTCGAAGAAAAGCGAGCCAGGTGGACAGCGACCCAGTTCCTCGGGTGGCAGAACTGGTGGAAGTGGTTCAGTGGTTGTTGTGGGTGGTTCTGTTGTGGATGTCGTCGTTGTTGTTGTAGTGGGTTCTGTTGTTGTGGTTGTTGTAGTAGTAGTTGTGGGCTCTGTTGTTGTGGTTGTTGTAGTAGTAGTTGTGGGCTCTGTTGTTGTTGTCGTCGTAGTGGTAGTTGTGGGTTCTGTAGTAGTGGTTGTTGTTGGTTCTGTTGTAGTAGTTGTTGTTGGCTCTGTTGTTGTAGTAGTTGGTTCCGTTGTAGTAGTAGTTAGTTCCGTTGTTGTAGTAGTTGGTTCCGTTGTTGTTGTTGTTGTTGTTTCAAATGGACAAGGCAGTGGATTTGTCCGGTAGCACAAATTATCAGTACTAAGGAAGTACCCTAAGAAGATATTAAAATTATAATAAATATTAAAACATTTATTAAAAACTTAACCAATATTTATAAAATGAAGACCACATGATTAACACACATAGCTAAAAATTTTAATAAAGATCATAATTAAATACGTTTTATCCTTACCAGCAGGACACTTTACGTTAGTCTGTGGGTTGCATTTTCCATCTACGTTTAAGTAGTATCCTAATAAAAGATTACAAAAATTATAATTAAAAACAGTTGAAAAAGAAATTAGTGTTTGCAATACACAACAATTTGTTTATTTTGCTTGACATTTAAAAACAATCTTAAAAACCTTTGATTATATTTAATAATAGCCGCTCGAAATTGCTGATAATTTTAAACAACAATGCGTATACGTAATTATTTTAAGAACAACGCGATTGTGGATCAGCGAGAGAGTTCTTACCTTCGGGACAAGATGACGAGCTATAGCACAGTCCATTGACATACTGGTAACCCGGGGGACAAGCCATGCCCTATGGAAAATCAGTTTGCATAAATATCGTTAATCAATCATTAAACTTAACCACTTTTCCCTACCACGTTATCCGTTTGAGCATTTCCACAGATTGCATTGATGATCAGGCAGACGACCAGAACCGATCTCAGCGATTTAGTAATCATAATGCTTGATTTCCGGATCCCGGGAAACAGGAACCGAGATTCGCGATGCACGGCTGTCCGCACTTAAAGAGAGACTAATCGAAGCGTCGATCCGGCGATGAGCTCACTGGGATTCTGATTCTGAATGGGAAGCATAATTGCTAGCGCCGTGATAACCTTCTCGGCACGCCACAGATAACGGTGAAGGTCGCTTGGGCTATAGCCCGACGAGTTTCAGCTGTTCCTGATCTGTAATCCGTAAGCCGGGTTTAGTTCGAATCGGCATGTCTGATCAGAAAGTGTGTTCCTGGCTGCTGCAGCCGGTGCTGCTATTAATCTGCCTGGGACTATTTCCCGCTGAGGTTATCACTAATTCTATACCAAATCCCTGCCAGAATGGTAAGTTCGACTGGAAATACTTTCATCTTTTGGTCTATCATTGCTATTTTTAAAATTCCAGGTCAGGTCTATGCCAATGGCGCTTGCAGTCCGGTTATTGTGAATGTATATAATGGCTATTGTGGTGGTCAGACAGGGATTCCTTGCAATTCTGGCAATCCTGTGGTTGTTACTGGTACTCCTGGATGTCCCAACGCTCCTGTGCCTCCAACAGTGGATCCAGCTAAGCCACTCTGTCCAAATACGCCCTTAAACCCCATAGTGGATCCAGTGAAGCCGCTGTGTCCAAACACTCCCTTAAATCCTATTGTGGATCCCAGTTCTCCTCAAAAACCTGCAGAGAATCCGTCTACTCCTACTTCTCCCAATACACCTTTAAACCCTATAGTTGATCCGGTTAATCCGCTGTGTCCCAATACCCCTTTGAAACCCATAGTGGTTCCGGCTACTCCTGCTTGTCCCAATGCTCCTCTAAATCCCATAGTGGTTCCTGCTACTCCTCCTTGTCCCAATGCACCTCTAAATCCCATAGTGGTTCCCGGTACTCCAACTGGTTGTCCACCTTCAAGTAATTGCAATCAAACCACGGAGTGTCCCAATAATTGTCCCAATTCGTGCAATACTAATTGCCCCTCAAACTGTCCTAATCCAGCTCCTTGCCCGACTTCTCCACCAATTATCACTCCTGTTACAACACCTGCCCCTGAAACCCCACCCGCCCCTCAACCAACTCCGTCACCCTATCCACCACCCACATCCTCACCAATTACCACACTTCGCCCTGAACCAATCCCAGTCCCTACTCCCCCACCGGCTCCAATAATCCGCTGTCCGCAAGGAACAATCCTGGTCAAAGGTGCCTGCCGCCTACTCTATTGTGGAAGATATGAAATATACAACGAAGGACGCTGCATTAAGGCTCGTTGTCCTGCAGGATATGTTTGGACGGGAATCAGGTGCTCTAAGCCCAGCCCCATTGATGTCGGCACCATTTACATAGAGAACAATGCCTACCAGAAATCTGGAGGTCTGCCCCAAACTTTCACCAATGTCAACAATGTCGAGGTCAATGCCTCCATTGCAATCCAAGGACAAACTTCCGAGGAAGAGGAGGAGGAGGAGGAAGAGAAAGTGGTAGTCGCACCGCAGCTGCCTTCAGGACCCTGCTGCAATGTGGTGGCACCAAGGATTTGCACCAGCCCAGTCGATCAGTTTGCCTACAAGTGCTTCAGCAGGACTCAGCAGCAGTGTGGATCCTTCTGCAGTGCTAACAAAGTGGTCCTTGCCCCGCCATCAGTAACTACCTGGACCCAGGCTAACAACCAGATGTTGGTCATGCCACCTAATTGGGTGGGTCAGGGTTGTCAATCCAACGGAGGCATCTGCCAGCAGGCTTCGAGTATGTTACTCATAACGATCGTTTGGCATTAATCACTAACTTGAATTGCTTTTTTCATTTCTCTTTTAAGACTACGACTGTAGCGGCTGTGCGATGGGTGACTTTTCCACCTGCTCCTCGTACTGTTACTCCTACAAGTGCAGCAGCCACAACTGCGCCTATTATGACCAGAGTCAGTACTGCTCCCAGTTTCCTGGTCAAATCGGCTGCCGAGCGGATGATGGATGGTTCCCATCTTCGTAAAATTAAACTATTAAATAGTAAACCAAACCAAATTTGGTTAAACCAAGTCATTGCTTTGTGACTTAAGTAATATTTTTTGGAAAATAAATGTTATTTTATATGAAAATTAAGTTTCTGACAACTCACAATAAACTTTTATTAGTTTAATCACTTAGTCAATAACATAAACTGCTAATTAAACATCGAAGTATGTTATGATATCACCTAAAGATACGGCGCTGCATTCTCGATCACTTCCAAGACAACAACAAGACTTCAAAGAACTACAATAAAAACTAAAAGTAACTCTTCAGTTTAGTGTATTTCAACCTAGTTGATATTTTAATCTGCTCAAAACCTTTCTAAACTGTTTACTTTTTTGACAGTAATAGGTTGATAACTTGACGTCATAGGGCAAAGTGTTGATAGGAAATATGGTGTCATATTGGAACATTCCAAAGGCCATGCCAATCAAATTGTGAGTGCGAGGTTTGGCAAGCGGATATATTATATATATATATATATTATAAAGGTTATTTAATTAGGTTAAACTAAGTATTTATTTACTAAAAAAGCAATGCATTGGTCTAAAACCTTATCAACCGATTATCATTCTCATGTGCTAATAATTTTGCAGCATTTTGAACCTTCGCATTCCGAGTGATTTTCGGCTAGAAATTGAGTGAAAGCTTCGGCAGCAATCAATTCTTTGATAATGTTATCTTACCTTATCTTCAAAGGGTAGGCAAGGGGATAGGTAGGTGGGTGGGTGGTGGCCATAGCCAACACTCAACCATTGCAGTTGTGACTCCACTTTTCGCACCAGCGGACGTACAATAAAATCGAAGCGAACCGAAGAAACCGACAAACATTCGATAATGCCGCATTCCAAGGTGAGTAATAAACAGCCGGGATCACCGAAGTCACAGAATTTCTATTACATTTAATGCTAATTGGAATTTTTGTTCAAAGAGCCAGCATATGGCAGCAATAGTGACTAAACCATTGCCAAAAAGAAAAAAAAGAAAAAGAATTCAAGGCAGTTTCTGTTATCAGGCGATTGTTATGAAATTTGCTTGATTGTCAGATGGTAGCGAATTTGATGGGCCTATTAATATGGAAGATAACATCACAAGTTATTGATTTTTTTTTGGTTCCTCAAAGTATTTGGTAAATAAAGAAAGTAACTAATTGGGTAGGTTAATAACATTTTAAAGAAGGGTACATGCTATAAAGATAATTTTAATTTAAAAAAATATTTCACTGAAAATGATTGACTCATATTTTGACGTTGTTTACTTTTTTCTGTTACTGCCAAGAAAATTATGAGATGTTTAAAAATACTTTCAAACCTAATCTTATCTTCAATTAGGAAATAGAAAAATATTTATAGGTACTTCCTCTATTTTAAAAACATAAAATTCTATATAAAACTAAGATTGATCATGAAATTCCCCTTGCAGCTGCTCTTGTGGGCGTTGGTTGGCCTGCTTCACCTGCTGACCTTTGGCCATGCTGACGAGACTCAGCTTAAGAACAACACGATAGTGGTGCACACTCCTCTTCAGAACTACGATCAGCCAACTCTGCGGGACTACGAGGAATGTCAGGCGAACAGGGATAATTGCCTGAATGTTTGCGATGGCAAACAATCCTGCGAAGAGGAGTGTCCTGTCTGTCCGGAACTCTACGATAATCCACTGATGGTTCAGGGCATTAACGATACGGATTTAGTGGCACTACCACAAGCACCCATTAACACCACGAACATCATTCGCCTGACCAACGAGATCAACAACATAATCGAACATCAAATCCAGAATCGAAATGAGGTCAACATTAAGGTGAATCAGAATGTCTCACAGGTTGGAGGACGCTTTGGATTGGGCTATACTGATCGAGGATCCTGTTGCTATGTGGTGCGTTTGGATCGAGAGTGTGAGAGTGATGGTGGACATGATTGCAGGGAAAAGAGCCGTCAGCGGGTTTGTGGCGAGAAATGTCAGGCTAGAGTGATGTTGGCCAAAAGAGTGGTCCAATGTGACGCTGAGGATTCTGACAAATGTCATGAGACCATCGAATATGTGCCAAGGAGGAGGAGATCGCATCGAAAGAAGTCCAACGAAGGAACGCAGTGTAAATACTTTGGCATCAGTTGGCCTTACTTTACTTGTGGCCAAAATCCTGGACAAAATGGAGCTCCAATTGAGCCTCCACGGGTGAAACGCACCACCTGCCAGCAGTGTCTCAACTATCCCTATGGTTATATTCTGCAAAATGGTCTTCCGGCCCAATGTGCAGGTTGTTTCCAGGGCTACGGAGCGCCTATGATGCCCATGTTCAATGCTCCTTACATGTACAATCCTTATATGCCATATCCAAGCTTTGGAAATTATCCAGGCCTAAATAATAATAATGGTAACAATGACGGAAGTAGCTATGGAAATAATAATGGTAAAGTTGATAATATTGTGGATAACACCATCGCGGGATCTGGGGATGATGGTTGGATTATATGTGACGATGATAACATTGAAAACTGCTTAAATGCCAAGGAACAAGGAACGCCTGCTCATGTGGATAAACCAACGATAGATACTGAGGAGTCAGAAGAATACAATGTTCCAGTCCAGCGAAGGAGGCGCCGCCAAAACCGTCACAACTTTGTGCGTTCCGCTTACAGTAAACGCAATCGCGAAAATTGATCTGATCTAAGCCACCAACAAACTCTTGAGATTTTCCAAAAACCTTTCGCCTCAATATCTATTAGTATTTTTTGGTTAAACAAATAGTTAACATTATGAAACTACTACCAAACTCGCCATTTGTGTGTAATATTCTACCGAATAAAGGAATTTTTTCAAAAACTTAATTATGGTTTTAAATGTTTAAAAAGCGTTTTTCAGGGGGCTATAGTAATTTCAATATTTGTAATAAGAGTATATAAAATACCTTAAAGCTCAATCAGACTATTTAATATCGATGACAAGGTAATTTTTTATTAGCTGCCTTATTAATTTACGATATAGTCGCATTAACATTTTCGTGTAGCAGCAATTAGAGGTTGCTCATTTCTTATATAATCCCGATAACTTATCAGCTTTGAAGTGCAGTAAGTAACCACAAGTAGGCAAAATGAGTGTACTTTAAATAACGATTTATTTGATAGGCAGGTTATGGAGCAGGGTGACAGGGCGGGGAGACCTCGTTCTCCTTAAAGACTAAACAACGTTTAATAAAATCTGGATTCGTCCTGCTCGAATGCTTACGCTTGCGATCTGGGCACATACATAATGTTAATATTTTTCTTCTTTCTTTTTTTTTTTTGATTGGATGTGAAAACATTTTTGTTCTGGCATTTGCAATTTGCAGGTAAATAGTTTCGTAGGCTTCTGGGCGGGGCTAACTCCCCCTCCACCCTTCTCGATGAACAGTGTTGGAACAAGAGACTACTACAACTTATGGTAATATTGCGCGTGTGTTGACTTTTAGTTGGTTTGTTCGCTACAATCTTAGGGGCTGTCAGTTTGGCAAAGACCTCTACTTGATGCCCAGTTCCTTGAGTTCGGTTTCCTCATCCACAGAGTCCTCGTCATCAGAGCCGTGCACCGATGGAGCTGGTGTGGTGTGACCTGGAATTAGGGATTATATTAGATAGTGTTTATACGAGTATCTGATTGATAGTATTTTTAACAAGATCGGCTAGTAACTAAAATATTCTAATTCGGCATTCTTAGTTTTGCTTTTGTAGTTGTAAACTTCTCATTGCAGCATTGCAATATTTAAATCGTCTAAAAGTATTCAATGATTTTTGTTAGATCCTTATCAGGTATATGTAATATAAATTGGCTCATGCAAACGTCAAATTTAAATAAATCGCTGCTTACTTTTAGACCTGTTTTACATTACAATCTTTAAGATTCATCTCAAAGTAAACATTTAAAATAATTTATTTTAGAGACATAAACTCGTATTTAAGCACAGCTGCTGGGAACTGAGAAAGTTAAAAGTACAAAATGGAATGTCCAACAGCTGTTTTATTCGAAAATTTACCAAAACGATCAAAAAATCAACAACTTTTCTTGCAAAATTATGACAAAATGCAGAACTTAAGAATGCATTGAAACATTGGAATGCTTGAAGTATATTTTAAATAGCGATATAGATATATAGATATATATCTAGCGATCTGTATCATCTTCATCATCCCACTTACGCGATGAAGTTGGGCTAGGTGGTTCGCTGTGCGGTCGCGAGAAGATCAAATTGTTTTTCGATCCATAGAGGGTCAGCTCATCCACATAGTCTGGGTAAACAGCTTGCAGGGCCTTAACCCTGGCCTGTCTGTAGTACTGCAAAAGTCAATTACAATGGTTAATAGTCAAAATTAGTAAAAAAAAAAAAGTACGGAACGGAAATACTAACAATGCCCAGGGTACGCCAGTCGAGAAGATCGCTCAACCGCTCCGTGCGATTACGCTGGATGATGCGCTGACGGCGATTCAGCCGGGAGAAATCCATCATAAAGCTGGACAGCTGCTGAACACTGTTCTCCAACCCAATATAGCGACGATCCACAATGTAGATGCCATAGGACTTAGGGTCACTGATGTGCTCCTCCATGAAGCAACCGAAACCAGACAGATTGGTGGTCACGCTGGGAATTCCCATCACCGTACATTCAGCGGGAGTGTAACCCCATGGTTCGTAGTACGAGGGGAAGACACCCAAGTGGCAGCCACGGACAAACTCCTCGTAATCAATGCCGAACAGAGGGTTCGTGGACGTTAGGAACTCCGGATGGAAGACCATCTTGACACGATCGTGCCGGGAGTTGAACAGGTGGCAACGACGAATGGAGGACAGCACCGGATCGTTCCAATCATCTGCCACATTGTGCGTGGTAACTGGTGGCATAGAATCACGCTGCATGGCAAACATACAACGCTTGATCTTTACCAGATCTTCCTTTTGGAGCAAATCATCGGCACTGGGGATGTTGCCCTTCAGGCAGGTATCGAACATCCGCTTGCCCACCGCCTGTTGCACGTTGTTGATTGTGTCTCGCAGCTGCTTGATCACGGCATGTCCTCGGAGGGAGTCCACGTTGAAGTTGTTCGTCTTGGTGGGGAAGATAAGGAAGGCCACCACCGTGGTGTCCGGCTTCTCGTGCTTCAACATAGCATTCAAGCGAGCCAATGCCTCGATGAAGATGTCGGCTCCCTTGTTTCCGAACTCATAGCGACCGGCGATGAAGAAGTACAGGGTCTTGTCCAAATCAAAGTCAATGTGGCTATAGAAAGAGAAAGGGATAAAAATATTATTAAGTTATATTAAAATATGTTAGGTGCTAAAAATCGCACCTTAAGGTTTGTTCAAATCTGATTCCAGGCTAACATTTCATAGCTATCACCAAATCTATTAAAATGTTAATAATTGCTAAATAATCGATTACCAATAGTTAGTACATCAGTGAAGTCCCATGCTAGCATTGAATTGCTATTAATTTGAAATCATATAATCATACTTCTAATCATGCATGTAGATTATAGATTGTCATGTTTGGATCGATTAACCTTTATTCAAGGGTGTAGAATTCTACATGGAATATGGAAAACATTTCCGCATAACATTGAATATAGAAAATACTATCTCCCCTGTTATTTTAGTAAGTATTAACATTTAACATAGCTTAAATCTTTTATGTACTTAAAGTTCTTAATCCAAACTCACCCGTAGAAGTGTCCCCGTACAAATTCATTGATCTTCTCCTTGGCGACGGCGTGCAAATTCTGGAATTCGTGGATGGCCGAGAACTTCTTGACATTCAAACCGTTCGGTGTGATGATGTCCGGCTTGCGCTTCAGCAGATGCTCTGCCTCATATCCCGTAATCTCTGAGACAGTGGTGAACACGTGAGCCAAATGGGTGGCACCTCGTTCCAGGCAATAACGATGGTAGATTTGCCGCTTGCCCGCCTCCTCGTCGACGGCAAACTTATCTAGATTATTATAGAAATCAGTGTTGCCGGCGCACAAATAACGACCCAACAATGTCGCGTGGGTGGTGAAAACAGTGGCAATCTCCACCAGACGAGTGCGCAGAACAATGAGAGCCACGCCAGCTTGCCACTCATGGAAATGGGCCACAATCCTCGGGGCGCTCAGTTCGTTGTTCTGTGAGTAAGTCACGGCAAAGTTACGGAACTCCTCCAGGAACTCGGCAATCATAAAGCCTAGGATAATGGCATCGTTGGTCTCGATATCCAAATGAGGTACTCCAATATGGCATTTCTCCCACATCTCCGATTTGAACTGATCCAACTTCCAGGCGGCGGATCCAATATCAAAAAGAATTAACTGGGGATTTCCATCAACCAACCAGCGACCAGTGTGGATTTTGTAGCCTCTCGAACGCAAGGAGTTCACAGCATCTAATAGTGGGTTTCCCCTGGGGAATTCCATCTCCTCCATCTCAGTGCGGGCACAGTGCTCCTTATAGGGACCCATCATGCACAGCTGCTCACCCATCTCCTCGGTGGACACGTAGGCCTTCGACCGGATCACCGTGTAAATGCCACCGACCTTGTTGGCCACCTCCCATGCTACCTCAAAGTTCCAGCGATTCTCCCGGGAGGCAATGTCACCACGATCAAAGTAATCCTTTAGGTCCGCCCCGGACTCCACTCTTGAAAAGCGACGATTCATCTGGAAGTCAATGAGAAATGATAATGATTAGTTTTTGTATATATATTCCTTTCAGATTTTTTCCATTTATAATCCCCACCCTCAGGGCATAGGAGGTGGACTCATTGTCCTCGAAACGATAGGACTGCTGTCTGCGCATCTTCTTGATATGCTGGCGGTAATGCTTTAATCTAAGCGCCGCTGATCTATAGCTGAACCTCTCCGCTGAGGCTCTCGTTGCGGACTGATAGTGTCAACTAAATTTAGCCACCGGCTTGACCCATATTACAAGCTGGGATTCCTTATCGCCTTACACTCGTATATTTGACAAAATTTTATATTTTCTAATAAAAACTATGATTTTTAACTGTCTTAAAAAGTAAAACCAAATTAAATCTTACAAAAATAAAAGACCTTCAAGAAAGCCAAGATAACCTTTAGTTGGTCCACTAACTATCATTGAATTTTCTATGTTTTAAAACAGATTTTAATACAAGACAAACTAGTTTCTCTCCGTGCATCGACCGTCGTTGTTGGGCTGGTCATTGTCACTACACGCCGGCACTTGTTGCATCACCATGCAGCGAGGTGCGATCGATCCACTATCAGGAGAATGCAATTGCATCGGTGCAGTTTATGGGCTGATAAGACACAGCTATGCGACATCGACCATGTCCCTGACAGTCGGTCATTTATGTACATTATTCTATATATGCCATATTCTATAGGTACTAACTATAGATGGACACACGCTGTGCTGTCCATAAACCAAAGGTCTATTTTCGGATGTCGGAAATGTTCGACATCATCGAGCAAAGATGAGTTTGCCAATTTTCCGCTCTATATGTATACAAGAAAATTTTTGGCAAATGTTTTCATTGTCAGCGTAGCTGAGAGGAAAAGGCGCTGTAAGCGCCAGATGCTGATTTAGTACAGTTTTAGGGACAAAAAGTATTTAAATGAATTTGAAAACTTTATGATATTTACCAAACATTGTCTCTAAATTTATTTACTATTACTTCATTTACTGCGGGCATATTTTCGTCACTTAAAGACTAAGTCATAAGTACACTGGGGTGTGTAATTTTTTAATTGGATATTGTCCAGAATGACCTTGACTGACAACGAATTTCTGGGCACCATAAAATATATTGAACTAACACTCTTTGTTCAATTAACTTCAATGAATTTCAAGACTATAAAAGCATTTAACACACCCACTAAATATCTTATCTGTGTTGATATAATACATTATAGTTTAACTTTTCAAGTTTAAACTTTTACTACATTAGAGGTAGAGAAATGATAATAACTTTAACAAACTTTGATCTTTATGAAAAATCAATTTAAAAATGATTTATGAGTTTTTCATTTGGGTTTAATTTCTGATCAGAAGATTTCCTCATTTTTGAGCACAATTTGTAAATAAATTTTTTCACTCAAATCATTTGGGACCACCTTTGTACGCCCCACCCAGAATACTTTCAAAGGTCACATTTTGTAATACTGATTTATGTTTTATAACTCAAAAATTTTTTGGAGATATCGGTTAGAAAGCATCTATTTTAACATCAAATGTATCTAAACATATTGCCAGGACGTCATTCCCTTTCTCCTACACTAGAGGGCGTTATATCCGGATAAGAAGAAGAGAGTGATCTCTATAATTATCACTCAACTGCACTTGTCCCCTTCACACTTCACACTTTTCACTCAGAATATTGTTTAAAAACACTTGACAAACGAAGGCGGCGAGAAAAGTAAAAGTGAGGAAAACCTTTTGGCACAGGTTCTGTTAATTGAATAATTGACGACTTCTTACACTTGATAATTTATTTATTCAATTGAGAAGAAAGAGGTGAAAATTAAGGCCTTACTGCTATCTCGCTTGCACCTGCACACACAAACACACACGCACTGCTGCAACGCAACTTCAGGAACAACAAGAACAAGAACCACAACAGCAAGCAGCTGAGAGACCTTAAGTGTACGTGCGTTTCTGTGACTGTGTGTGAGTGTTTGTGGCAGGCAGAGATATTTTTTTTCATTGCCAGAGCGGCAGCTAAAAGTCAAATAAAGGTCAGTGGCAGTGCTGCTGAGAGAGTGAGAGCATTAAAAATTGTTCACCATTGTTGGTATAGTTTGCTTCTTGCGCCCCTTTTTGTTATTGTTTTTTTAATAAACGTTTTTTCTTTTTGTTGTTGTTGTTGTATTTAACCCGCTCAACAAGTTTTAAACTTGATAATTTTGTTTTTGCTGCACTCTAAGGTGGTCGAGAGGGAAAGAGAGAGGTAGAAAGCGCCAGGAATTTGAATTAATATATATGTAGGTATTTTTTATTTTCATGCGGCCGGCGCATTGATAAGGCCTATTACGCTTATCACCGCCTTTTTGTTTATGTTTCGCGTTTATCACTTTTCCAGCGGGCACACATGTAGGTGTGAAAAGTCCAAGTTGTATGTTTCCAAGGCGTCCGCTTGGCGCCAATTGCAAAATGCAACCAACAAAATACCGCTGATAACGTTGTTTGTTTGTAATTGTGTATGGATGTGGGTGTGCGTATGTGTGGGAGTAATTTGGATTTCGGCACGCGCACAGCTGTAAAATTGATATAGTTCCCCGATCTCGAAAATCAAATCACCTTAGAGCCACAGCGCACTAGCTGTTGTTGGCCACACGAAAAAAAACGAATAACTGAAAAAGAATTCGAAAACAAAAAAGAAAATCCACGGGCACCCGGGTGAGTTCTTGTTGTTGTTGCACCGCAGAGTGGGAGTTTGCGCAGAGAGAAATGCTGTGAGAGCGAAAGGAGAAAGAGCGAGAGAGCGACCAGGTGAAGGGAGTGACCGTGTGAGAGGCGGTCAAATATACCAAAGAAAAATTCAAATATTATTGTAGTTGAGTAGTTAAATACATTTAACACTTAACTAAGAGGAAAAGATTATTTGAAAGTTAAACAATATTTAAGATAATCCTAAATTAAACAAAGAAGAACTAAATACAACATTATTATTCAAGAGCGTGTCAGTCTTATTTGTTAAATGTCGAATAACGTAAGCTAATAACGTAAGCATCATTGCCAACTGCAACTAAAATTTAGCAGAGTGCATCTTAAGGCGGGAAATTTAAATCGTGAATATCCAAATTTTCAAAAGAAATTATTCTATAAGTTTAAAGTAAGTGTAACTATTTGGACAATTTTTATGCTAAGAAAATACTGATTTTTTTAACTAAAAAAATAGAGTACACTTTTTTTTTTTAAAAAAATTTGCTATATTTTCTTCGGTTTTCAATCCATAAAATAGTCAAAACAAGTCATACAGCCAAATTAAAGACAGTTTTGTGCAGCTGACGAACGCCATTAACGAACTATTTGACTGTCAACCTGAAATTGGAAAAATAATTTTTGAGCAATTTTTGCATTTTTTATAAGGGGTACCATCGTCTTTTTTTCCAAAAATGGCCAAAAATTAAATTTCATATTTTTGGATGCACATCGATTAAAATATGAAATAGATTAAATTTCGAGCTCAGGGAGGTATAACATTCCAAATTTGGACCATTTTCAGGCTTACTAGGAGGGAAATACTGATTTTTTTAAACTGGAAAAATAAGAAAACAATTTTTTAGAAAATTCGCTATTTCTTTTTTTGGTTTTTAGTCCATAAAATAGTCAAAACAAGTCATACAGCTGAAGTAAAGACAGTTTTGTGCAGCTAACGAACCCCATTAACGACCTATTTGACTGTCAACCCGAAATTGGAAAAATAATTTTTTGAGCAATTTTTGCATTTTTTATAAGGGGGTACCATCGTCTTTTTTTCCAAAAAATGGCCAAAAATTAAATTTCATATTTTTGGATGCACATCGATTAAAAAGTTGAAATAGATTAAATTTCGAGCTCAGGGAGGTATAACATTCCAAATTTGGACCATTTTCAGGCTTACTAGGAGGGAAATACTGATTTTTTTAAACTGGAAAAATAAGAAAACAATTTTTTAGAGAATTCGCTTATTTTTTTGGTTTTTAGTCCATAAAATAGTCAAAACAAGTCATACAGCTGAAGTAAAGACAGTTTTGTGCAGCTAACGAACCCCATTAACGACCTATTTGACTGTCAACCCGAAATTGGAAAAATAATTTTTGAGCAATTTTTGCATTTTTTATAAGGGTACCATCGTCTTTTTTCCAAAAATGGCCAAAAATTAAATTTCATATTTTTGGATGCACATCGATTAAAAGTTGAAATAGATTAAATTTCGAGCTCAGGGAGGTATAACATTCCAAATTTGGACCATTTTCAGGCTTACTAGGAGGGAAATACTGATTTTTTTAAACTGGAAAAATAAGAAAACAATTTTTTGGAGAATTCGCTATATTTTTTTGGTTTTTAGTCCATAAAATAGTCAAAACAAGTCGTACAGCTGAAGTAAAGACAGTTTTGTGCAGCTGACGAACCCCATTAACGACCTATTTGACTGTCAACCCGAAATTGGAAAAATAATTTTTGAGCAATTTTTTGCATTTTTTATAAGGGTACCATCGTCTTTTTTCCAAAAATGGCCAAAAATTAAATTTCATATTTTTGGATGCACATCGATTAAAAGTTGAAATAGATTAAATTTCGAGCTCAGGGAGGTATAACATTCCAAATTTGGACCATTTTCAGGCTTACTAGGAGGGAAATACTGATTTTTTTAAACTGGAAAAATAAGAAAACAATTTTTTGGAGAATTCGCTATATTTTTTTGGTTTTTAGTCCATAAAATAGTCAAAACAAGTCGTACAGCTGAAGTAAAGACAGTTTTGTGCAGCTAACGAACCCCATTAACGACCTATTTGACTGTCAACCCGAAATTGGAAAAATAATTTTTGAGCAATTTTTGCATTTTTTATAAGGGGTACCATCGTCTTTTTTTCCAAAAATGGCCAAAAATTAAATTTCATATTTTTGGATGCACATCGATTAAAAGTTGAAATAGATTAAATTTCGAGCTCAGGGAGGTATAACATTCCAAATTTGGACCATTTTCAGGCTTACTAGGAGGGAAATACTGATTTTTTTAAACTGGAAAAATAAGAAAACAATTTTTTAGAGAATTCGCTATATTTTTTTGGTTTTTAGTCCATAAAATAGTCAAAACAAGTCGTACAGCTGAAGTAAAGACAGTTTTGTGCAGCTAACGAACCCCATTAACGACCTTTTTAACTGTCAACCCGAACTTGGAAAAATAATTTTTGA